AAAAACGAGAAAACAAAAAAAAAAATTTTTTTTTTTGGTGTTTGAATTTATTTAGGTTTTTCAAAGAAGTCCTAGTGCGTTCAATTGGGCATTCAAAAAATTGGTGCCAGAGTTTTATTTATCTCAAAAGTACTATAGGATAATTTAAGAAAAAAATCGGGATCTGAGCCGACAGAATTGAAGTCGACATCTAAGAAACTGAAACTCAGTCAAAAATTTTTGTCAATAAAAACATATAGTAACAAAGATAGCCGATTACTGTGCAAGCAGCACAGAATGTTCCGACCATACTCTGCGTGGTGTGATAAAAAGATCTGACGTGTAGTCATTATTTAGGCATTTTGGACAGCCATAGAACTATAGGCAAATTGAACAGGCGCGGATCTACGAACTTCTCGAGGAGGGGTGAGGGGGATTAAAAAAAAATTGGAAAATTTTGTCGACCTTTTTTAGGTCAACCAAATTGATTTTCTGAGCACTCCCAAATCACTATAAAGACCCTAATTTGACAAAATTTCCTGCACCGCTGGCAAATTAAAAAAAAGGCCAAAAAGGGAGTTTTTATGCACTGTTTGGAAAATTTCGACTAAAAATCGCATTTTTTTTTGGCGAGCGGTCCCCGCTTAAAATACGTATAGATTGGAACCAAAGGCACCTTTAGAAAATTTTGAAGTTCAATTGGCCAAAAAATGGATATCGCAAATTAGCACAAAATAGGACCCTTGGGGTCGGCGGGGGTTGAATTCCTGAGAGGGGATCGTCCGCCCACCCCCTAAATCCGCTACTGATATTGGAGAAAAAATTTTACAGAGAAACGACTAGAAAAACAAAAACGTCAAAAAAAATTTGCAGTTTTTGGTTCCCTAAATTTTACTTGCTTAAAAGAAATTTTTAGGGCTTAAATCAAGGATAAAAAGCTGTTGTAAGCCTGCTCGTTCGCTTTATTTGCTCGATATTGAAATAAAATTCAATAATATTTTTTCAGGATAATGGGAAAATTTTATTGTCGTTCAAATCACGGCTGAAAAAGACTAGATTTGGTATAATATTCGACCCACTCTGATGATTATTTTTGATACCTAATTCTCAGTGGAAAACAAAACAAAAGAAAAAACGAAAAGAAACCCGAATACAAAGTTCCTCCACTTTTTTTAAATGGTCGAAACAAAACAATTTTATGTAACGCCTACATAGGATCAACGATAGCTATAGTAGTAGCGTAAGCAAAATAGATTACATGAATTGGAAACTTAATCATCAGACCGCAAGTTGGCAACCATAACTAGAAAACTAATATTAAAACTCTATAGTTATACAAACAATGGTTCGAGGTCTAATATGATAGCATAAGTTCTAATTACTACCCCGTAGTAATATTCGATTTTTCATCAAATTGAGCACTTCAGCAGCATAGCAGAATCATAAAAGATTCAACTGGTTTTGTAAAACCCAAAAAAAGGTATATTCTGATTTGATAACGCTTGCTAATCGCAAGCATAACCAGTTTTGAGGGTTTAACGTCAACTATAACCAATTTTTTGGTCAATGCTAATCATAAAAAGCCGACAAACGGTATTTTTCCCAAAATAATCTTTCCGTCCACTCACTTTTGCCAAATATAGTCCTGTCAAAAAATTCGAAGGGCTGATATTTAAAAAAAGCTCGACCTTTTTTTTCAAATCACCACTACCTTGTCAATCATTTCCTGTGCAGGCCAATAAGGAGGGGTTTTTACAGAGTTATAAGAAAAAAAAATTTTCTTGAAAGTCCTTTCTTGAATTACCATGACAATTCCCGAAACAATAAGATTTAAGTTTTGAAAATCAAATATATTGAGTTGATGAAATCACAATCTTTTGAAACTCGCTAAGTCACCAAAAATAATGAGTTTTTGGGAAAAAAAACACTTGAGATGCAACACAATCATCGCATGACAAACTAGCAGACAGAAATTGAGACGTTAGTCGCAAAGTCGAAAAGAAAGATTTTGAAAATGTCGTAAGAGGTTCTACCAAAAATTTCATATTCGTGTGTTATTTTGTTTAAATGAAAACTAATTTAGAGTAAGAAAAAACATGCCAATATAGGCAAATGAAAATTGAATTTCCATCGAACGAAATGTTACTAGAAGGTAATAAAGCCGCCATTTTTTAAGCAGACAACAGAAGAGTAAATAAATGTTTGCATAAAGAAAACAATTCATAGAAAATTCTCCATGACTCCGTCAAAAACTCATTCGCAAAAAAATGTTTCGCTCATCTAACGAGCCAACATAAACCTACCAAGTTGATTAGGTTTAAACCCAAAACATTTTAATCCGAGTAAATAAACAAAACAAACAAAGAAAACCAGAATTGGTAACAAAAACCAACTCAAAAACAACTATTGGATAGAACAGGTTTTTGAAATGCTGTTATGGTTAAAATATAACAGTTGGTTGACAAAACTGAAGTTTTGAGAAACTGATATAGGGATTATGGATTTTGCTGAACAAGTTGTTCACAAGAACATAGCCAACCGACAGTGTGAAAAGAGTAAAAAAATGCAAGAAAACTGACTTCTTTAAGCTTCCACATTTCCAAGAAGAAAATTAAAATTTTTTGATAAAATTATTCCATTTTAAGAAAACTTCATCAATAGTTAAAATTTTTCTTCGCTGGGAAATCTGATATTTCATTCCATTTTCGAAACTAGAAGTCAATCATGTTAAGTTTTACGTGACCATTATAAGTTCGCTATTTGATAGTGGAGTTTGCCTTGCTTGTAACAAAACCAATGAGTTCGAAAGTCAAACCTCGAAATAAGTGAATTTGAGTCTGATCAAATTTAAACACTTCCTGAAAAACGAAAAAGTATCATTGCGACCTGTATAAGAGTCTGAACTACCTTCTTTGACTCTTTAAAAAGTCTATGCTCCACATTGATAGATCTAGCTGTACGCCAGCATAATAATCGCATGAGTAATTATTGGGTGAATATTAATAGGCGAAGCTAAAACTTCAAACAAAAATTTTACTTGAAAAAATTCGAAAAAGAGCAAAACATTTTATGAGTTATCAGTATCCATCAATGAAGCTTTAAAGATGGCAATAAAAAACTAGAAGAAAGCTCAATTTTCAAAAAAAAGTTCGTGCTAGGGGAACTACGCCGACAAAAACAAACAGACAACGATAGTCCAAAAAAGGAGAAAAATTCTAGTTTGCAAAAACAACAGTCCCCAGCCTGATTCGAACCACAAACTTAAGTGTATGTCATGTTTTAGACAGAAGCGGAAATGCGCTTTGCACTATTACTGACAAGTAGAAAATAAATAATGACAAGTTAGACAAAACTTGAGGATAAGCTCAGTAAAACTCATTCATTACAAAACTAGTCAAAAAAATTTAATCAAAACTTTCACATTGGAACCAATTTTGAGCAGAGTTGACTGAGCAAACAACACATCGGTAATCACAGTTTTGCAGAAAAAAGCGTTGTAATAAGAACTTTAAACTCAAACTTAGTAAAATTTTCCATTTAAGTCAAGGCTTCATTCGTTGCTTTCGTGTTACTTGAGAGAACGAAAAAAATGGTAGTAATATCGTGAATCCCAATACATATTCCAAACTCAATATAATCCAAAAAACCAGAAGTCTGTCGTGGCGACTCAGACGACAAAAAATACATTCGAACAATAGATTAATCGAAAACACAAACGATAGGACGCTAACTACTTTTTTCAAGCGGAAAATTTCACTTAGAGCTATTTTCCTGAGGTTTGACCTTATTTCCAGAGAAAAATTACCATTTTTGCGGGAACTTACTCCACGATGAAAACTCTAGTCAGCACTTATGTGGCTTTGTAAAAGAGCTTTCCGTCCTCAATTTGTTTTTTTTTTGCGAGTACATTTTTAGTCGGCTTTTCTTGCCAGAGATTTTAACTAACTCTTCACATAATTGACTCTTCAAAATTGATTTCATAGTAACACACGTCTCAAAGACTGCTAAACTGAGCTAATTAAATTGATAATTCAGGCAAATACAAATAGATTTCGAAAACTCAATTGAGGAGATTTTCAGACGAGAAGAGGCATTTAAGGCGCACGAAGCATTATTGTACAAATGCGAAACAGTGGATATAAAATTCGAATTGAAACCAAAATAGCAACAGTGAAAAAATAACAAGTCATATATTTGAAATTAAATGTGAAGTTTTCACTACAGCTGTTCGAGTTTCGTTCGAGCTTTCTGTTCCGCAGATCCATTTCTAGTTGAGTACGATATTTCGTTTTCTTTATAATGAGTAGCTTCGAGTCGTTTTGGCTTCAATCTATGACGTCGTCAGTTCCTGCAAACAAACTCATTTCACAAACATAGCACGAAGCATTTAAATAACTTTGAAATCCATTTATAATTGAAAGCCAAGACTGCCAGATTTTTTTTACCATTTTACCATTTTCACATTGAACGTTGTAATAAGAACTTTAAACTCAAACTTAGTAAAATTTTCCATTTAAGTCAAGGCTTCATTCGTTGCTTTCGTGTTACTTGAGAGAACGAAAAAAATGGTAGTAATATCGTGAATCCCAATACATATTCCAAACTCAATATAATCCAAAAAACCAGAAGTCTGTCGTGGCGACTCAGACGACAAAAAATACATTCGAACAATAGATTAATCGAAAACACAAACGATAGGACGCTAACTACTTTTTTCAAGCGGAAAATTTCACTTAGAGCTATTTTCCTGAGGTTTGACCTTATTTCCAGAGAAAAATTACCATTTTTGCGGGAACTTACTCCACGATGAAAACTCTAGTCAGCACTTATGTGGCTTTGTAAAAGAGCTTTCCGTCCTCAATTTGTTTTTTTTTGCGAGTACATTTTTAGTCGGCTTTTCTTGCCAGAGATTTTAACTAACTCTTCACATAATTGACTCTTCAAAATTGATTTCATAGTAACACACGTCTCAAAGACTGCTAAACTGAGCTAATTAAATTGATAATTCAGGCAAATACAAATAGATTTCGAAAACTCAATTGAGGAGATTTTCAGACGAGAAGAGGCATTTAAGGCGCACGAAGCATTATTGTACAAATGCGAAACAGTGGATATAAAATTCGAATTGAAACCAAAATAGCAACAGTGAAAAAATAACAAGTCATATATTTGAAATTAAATGTGAAGTTTTCACTACAGCTGTTCGAGTTTCGTTCGAGCTTTCTGTTCCGCAGATCCATTTCTAGTTGAGTACGATATTTCGTTTTCTTTATAATGAGTAGCTTCGAGTCGTTTTGGCTTCAATCTATGACGTCGTCAGTTCCTGCAAACAAACTCATTTCACAAACATAGCACGAAGCATTTAAATAATTTTGAAATCCATTTATAATTGAAAGCCAAGACTGCCAGATTTTTTTTACCATTTTCACAGGCGAGTAATGACGATCAACAACGGAAACTTCCGCGACATATTGAACGTAATTGTTATCAAGAATTCATTTGCTAACACAGCCGTGCATAGGAAAAATCCTCGTGCATGGAAAATGAGTTCTATACTGGGCGACATTGAAAACGCACCATCAAATCTCTCCTTAAAATAAAATGGTTGGAAAAAAAACGTGAAAACTTACTAAATAACGCTTTTACAGCAAATTTGATCACATTTCAAGTTTTAGATTTGAGTTTTTATTAAGCTAAGTTCGAGTTTCCTTGCAAGCTTGAAAGCAAATTAATCCTGAAAATAACCAGGAAAACTCAGTTTTTATCCAACAAAAAGATGTAAGTATATGGCTTAACCCTCAGTTTTATTTCGTTTATTGACCTTAAAAGGCAAGAATTTTCCAGAACTGTGAATGAATCAAGGTACTAAATTTAGTTTCAAAAAATAAATTAGATAAAAAATAGGCCTGCTTTGTTATTTTGGCCTAATTTTTTCCTAAGCTCAATTTCTAGGCGACTTGTCAAATTTTACTACTTAAGTAAAACTTTTTCACTTATGCAGTTTGCACAGAGCTCAGACCGAATATATTTTTCAAAAGTTCTCCTTTTTTCTTTCAGAAAAAAATGTAGCTAAGATGTATGTCAGAATCTGATTGATTGCTATGAAAACAATTAGCCTTAGTGGCAGAAAAAAGCACAGTTATTTTCTCTTTAAAAACTACAATACATCCGGCTGCTCATAAATGCTATGTACTCACCATAATGGCATTGACAATATCGTTGTCGTTGTTTTTGAGTGCCTTCACTGCCTTACTCTTGGACACATTGGCCTGCTGCATCACCAGCTCAATGTCTTTCTCCTCTACTCCTGTGATGTCCAGAGTAGCCTCATCCTCCTCAGCTTCGTCCTCGTCTTCCTCCTGGACTGCACTGGTGGTAGGCTGAGCGCTGGCCCCCTCCTTAATCCGCTGGATCTCATTCAAGGATTTGATCACAGGCGCTTGAGACAAGTCTTCGACCTAAATTACAAACTAGTTGAATATGAGCATCAGTATTATACACCAACATTATTATATGAGCAGCGATACAAAAATATATTATTACTACACAAAGGCGAAGCAGAGCTTAGCAACACTTGCGATACAACAAAAACATTGCGTTACAAGAAGGGTATAGAATCGGTTATTTTTTGAAAAATTAAATTTAAAAAATAGTTAGAAAAGATTACTTAGAAAACTGTGATTACCGCAATTGAGACAAATTGAGCCAAAAAAAATCTAATTAGTCTACTTGTGCTGATAAACTTATTAAGTAGAGGCGGAAAGATGAATAATGATGGTATCCAAAACTTGCTGCCAAATTTGAGATATCTCTAGAAAGGCCACCTATGAAAACACTATCGACGAAAACACAAGAGACCATCAGTAGGTCGTTACAGAACGCCGTTCCAGGCATTGTGGAACAACTGAATGCACAACTGAAAGACTTGGTCAAAACCATGGAAGGCGAGGCACAAAAAGAATTCAAAGCTGAAGTGCAGAGCAACTTGAACAGTTTAGGCTTTCTTCAGACGAAAGCAGATCTGAAAGCACTATCGGAAGCAGAGATGATAGAAACTTTAAGCAGCAAAAAAATATATATCAAAGTTATTGGATTGGAAATGCCAAGTGGTAGCAATTTCGAAAGTGTTAGACCAGAGAAGGGAGAGTTTTCTTTAGTTGGAAGAATATGGAAAAATCGACAAGATAAAAAGCGCATAAGTAGGAGGCCAATATCTCAATTATACTATCCATGATGTAAACGCGTGCTTTAATAGTGTTTTGAACAATCTTCAAACCCCGCCGGCTCGTAAAGTTCCAAGTAATAGTGCTACAGATCCATCCATTCAAGTTAACAATTTTTCTCTAATGTTCGTTCTATAAAAAGAAACAATGTTCATCTAACTGAACCACTTGAATGAAATAGAACTATGCGAAACGGTTGCTTTCTTAATAGAATGTAACGGAAATCAAATCATAATATTATGTCTAGGGGTCTCCACGCGTTGATAAAAAGAAATTCACAGAAAAATTTCATACAGAACTAGAAAAAACAACTAAATATAAGTTACCTACAGTAATACATGATGACTTCAATATAGATGTTCTCAGAAATATTCAACTTGTTCGAAATCAACGCAGCACAAAATCATCAAATCGATTTGAGCTCTTACAAAACCTGCCAGCTTCAATGAAAGATCTTCATCTTTCATTTCTTTATCTACTATTTATGTGACCCAATAACCGAGGTTCTTATTTAGGAAAGCTTTTCTGATCATAATCCAGTTCTTTTATATTTTTTAAAATAAATGCTAGCTCAACCAAGTTTTGTTGATAAAGATAAAATTGCTGAGCCTTATTAACACTTTCAAAAACGTATCGTGAAACTCTCGCTGATTTTGCACCATTTACAGACAAAAGCACAAAAAACTTATGTTCCCTGGTTTAATAAGAAATTCAAAAACACCTTGAAATAAAACACATTGTTCCGAACATGTAAAGCTGAGATTCAGAACAAGCAAAAACAGAAAAAAGTCTATCGAATGGAAGAAAAGGCGATAATCAAATAAGAACATATCAGAAAATATTCTATTTCAACAAAAGCAATAAATGTATTGGAGATTCCAGAGAAAATTTTAAGTTAATAAATGAAATAAAGAGCAACACGGCCCGCCCAGACTTCGCAGGCTGCGGTCTTGAAAAAAAAGAACAATTATGACATTACAGAGCCTGAAGATATAGCCAATAGTTTTATTCAATTCTTCTTCACAAATTGTTAAAATCTTTCTGGTGCTGTACCGAGCTTTGAATCATTTCAGTTGATACTGTAGAGCCTAAAACGTTACACAGAAAGTTATATAATTGATCTTCTGCAAAACAGAAAGTTTCTTATTTACAGAAAAGAAGATTATGACAATTAACGAAGTTTATGTCTACGACCTTTTAAGATTTTCTTTGCGCTCGGTTAATAACCTTCATTCAACAAGTTTTTTGAATGATATGTTTACTATTTCAAAGTTTGCATACAAAACTAGAAGAACTAATGATTTAGTATACAATAGACCTTTATGTCAAAAAAAAAAATAGAAATTAAACTCGTTGCGAAATAGAGTCGCACTGCTACTGAATTTTTTAAGTGAAAATAGTTTGATGCCTTCTAATGAGAGAAGTATGTCGAAAAACGAATCCATTGTTTTTGTGCATTTATTAAAAGATAATTATTACTTTTAGTTTTGACGTCTTACAACTTTCCCTAGTTAGTTCCACTTATAAGAGCTGTATAGGCTCCAAATTTGCCGTGAAAACTAAGGGTTTGTCAAATTTTTCTTTGAAAAAAAAATTTTTTTCTTACAGTTTGAGCTTGTTTCTCAAGTTTGAAAGTTTAAGAACATGTGGTTAAATGCTAATCTGATTAGTGTGGTGGGATACGAGCCTGGTATAAAAATATGGTCTCTAAAAACCGTATTTTCGAGATATTACGGTTTTTAGGAACTTTTAGATTTTTCTTTGATTTTCTGCTCATGTATGCTTTAAAGCTAGAAGCCTATCCTCAAGATAAGATTTTCCAAATTTTCCTATTTTTTGGGGATAAATATTCACCAAATTATTGGAAAAAAATGACAACATTTTATTGTTTATTTGATTGATTAATTGATATCAGTAACAAACATCCTGCGACACCATTAACCACTAGGCAAATCTCATCATACTGCGTCTTTTGAGTAAATCATCCATATTATAACTTTTTCCACTTTTTTTCATGAGACCAGATATCTCCTGAAGTTAAACAATTCAAACTTTTTGCCGATTAAACTGATAATGCTTTTAATAAATAATACTGATAAGGGTAGACATTGAGACGAGCGGAATTTGCAAAAACGGTGTAAAATTCAGCAAACGAACTTTTCCTATAGATATAACTATTTGATCCAAAATTTTCAGACTTGCTCATTTGACTGAACCCTCAATCTCAGATTTGGCAGGGTGGTTTTTGAGATGTCAAAAGTTACTAAAAACGGTGAGAAATTTGACTGATCCGAAATTCTATATTTTTTTCTACTAAAATTGGAGGCGTAGCTGCTTACACCGGGAGGAGTCCCGCAAACTGATTTTTCGATTATATCTTCACACCCAGACTTGAGAGCGTAAATTGTGAAAAAGTGTCAAAACAGACCAGTGTCGAAAATTAGCATTTTTTGAGCACAACACAGAGATTCCCACTACATGTTCTCTCCATTGATACCTGAATCTCAGATTTGGAGTGGCAGATTATGAGAAAAAAATCCAAGAAAATGAGTCAAACATTCCCATCGTTTAAAACTTCGAAGGCCGTTGAAATGGAGCAAAAAAGAGAGAAATATGCAGACACTAAATGTAGCAGCCGCTATTTTAGTTGGTACTAATTTCATGAAAATCGGTGAAGTAGTAGTCGACAAAAGTTGAAACATTCACAAAAAATGAAAAAAAAACACCCATGGTTTCGTCAAACAGGATAATTTTGACCAGGAAACTACGCATTTTGAGTCGAGTGAGCCGATAAAACAAAGGCAAAAACCCTTCAAGTGAAAAAAAGTTTAGAAAAAAATATTCGAAATCAGATTTGATAAAATGACAAATTACAGAACAGAACTTTCGATTACAGTAAAACATTTCAAACTAAAAAACAATCTATCTTTTGAAAATTGTTCGCAGTACCATATAACAAACTCATTCAAAATAAGGGATAATTAACAGACGGAAACTAAGCCGAAAACCATTTATCCCAAAAAAGTATCATTTTTTTTAAATTGAACTAGCGTTTAACGCACCTTGGGTGCTTCGAAATTTTTCGACAGCTCATGAAAAACCGCATATATTGGAAACAACATCTGCAAACTTTATGTGTACTCTGACTGCACCCAATGACAGGGTTGGTAAATTCGATCTTTTAAATTTTTTTAGTTCCCATTTTAAAAGCGTCATTTGCAACCACTGAGAGTCCCTGAGAGCACCCTACTATAGGGTTAGGAATCCAAAATTTTGTGAATTTTTTAAACCAAAGTTTCCCGAAAAAAAAATTAAAAAAAAAACGTCTTATCTCGGAAAGTAAAAGGATTTGAGCATTCATATTAAGAGGCAAGATTTGAGACGACTGGGTGTACGCTGACAATAAAGTTGTATCTTCATCAAGTTGGTAGTTTCAAATTTTTTGAATTTCCTTGTAGATAAGTTCTTCGAGAAATTTTGAAAAAATCAAAAAATGTCACATCTCGGAAACTAAAAGCATTTGAGCAGTCGCGTTTAGCAGTCGCATGTGGTAAGATTTGCAACTCTTTATACCCTGACAACTATGGAGTTGGAAATGTCAAATTTTGAAAAATAATTATTTTAAACTTTCTGAAGTTTTCTGAAAATTTTTGAAAAAATCACAAAAAACGTCATATCTCGAAAACTACAAAGAATTGAGCAGTCATACTTGGAGGCAATATTTGCAATCTTCGAGATTACTCTGACAGGACCCAACTACAGGGTTGGGAATTTCAGATTTTACGAAAAAAATTTATGTTTTCTGAATTTTTTTTTTGAAAAAATCACAAAAAACGCCATATCTCGAAAACTACAAAGAATTGAGCAGTCATATTTGGAGGCAAGATTTTTAACTCCTTAGAGTACTCTGAAAGCACCCAACTACAAAATTGGAAATTTCAAATGTTGAGTAATAATTAATTAAAATTTTCTGTAAAAGTTTTGAAAAAATCACAAAAAACCTCATATCTCGAAAACTACAAAGAATTGAGCAGTCATATTTGGAGGCAAGATTCGCAATCTTTGAGAATACTCTGACAGCACCCAACTACAGGGTTGGGAAAATCAAGTTTTGCAAATTATTTTGTTATTTGAAATTTCTGAAAATTTTTGAAAAAATCTCAAAAATGGTCTTTTCTCGTTAACTAAAATGATTCGGGCATTCAAAATTGGAGGCCAAATTCGCAACCCCTAATTCGATATAGGGCTGCTTCATTTAAACTCGGTAAAATAACCACTAACATCAAATAAGAAAATCAAAAAAAAATTTCTTAACCATTGCAATATACGATACAGCTTAAACATGCAAAAATAATACGTTGAAAAAGCTTAAACATGGCGAGATAGTGAAGCCCGCATTTAAATATATAATAGATTTCTGAAAATTTTTGAAAAAATCTCAAAAATGGTCTTTTCTCGTTAACTAAAATGATTCGGGCATTCAAAATTGGAGGCCAAATTCGCAACCCCTAATTCGATATAGGGCTGCTTCATTTAAACTCGGTAAAATAACCACTAACATCAAATAAGAAAATCGAAAAAAAATTTCTTAACCATTGCAATATACGATACAGCTTAAACATGCAAAAATAATACGTTGAAAAAGCTTAAACATGGCGAGATAGTGAAGCCCGCATTTAAATATATAATAGATTATTAATTACTACCCAAAACTGATAACACCTATTTACTACCTAAATGAAGTTAGTTTTATTTTCACTTTCAAGATTTTGAGCTTCCTTGCTAATGACCATTTTGACTATTGTGTGAACAAAAGTTATTTGCAGAAAAAAGTCCAGTAAACGATTGCAATACAATTGCTTAACGCAAGACTAATTATTATGAATATTTCGTGGAGATGCCACTGGGGTGTTAGTCCCGCTTTTAAGTTTCTCGATTTGCACGACAGTTTTCACAAATACAAACAAAAGTCCATATGCAAGTGTTCTGTTCGCTCCTGTTTCGAAGAAGCGCCACATAAATTCGATTTTCCGCACATCCTTTTAATTGCTCTTATAAAAGGATTGTATAATAGGATATCCAGAACGCCAAAGTTCCGATCTATGATATGATACAAATAGTTGAATATGCTGAGTAAAATAAGGCTTCAGCCATTGCCTTATTTTAAAAACGCAAAAAATCAAAGAGTTTCGCACCATTTACGATACTTGATTTTGCATCGCAAGTGTTACGGAGCTTCGTAACACTTGCGATGCAAAAAACACATGGCGCTACAAAATAGTGAATGAAAAAAAAAGTCTGAAAAAATTTCTGAAAAATTATGTTGGAAAAATTAGTTCAAAAATAATTGGCAACAAACGTTATAAGATAACAGCTAAAAAAAACTTAATATTTGTATCAGATGAAGTTCATAAACATCCCATAAAAAATGGAAAACAATAACCGAATGGCAACAAAGGCGACACACTTTGCGTCGAAACCTGTTGAGCCGAAAACAAATCTGTTGTCATAAAAAAATTCTTAAAATTCAAGTTTGTACGACCCAATTACACGACCTTAACAGATAAAAAAAAAGCGTTTAAAAAGACTGAAAATGAACCGACAGAAACTAGGGCGAAAACTACAAACCCGAAAAAAATGAGAATTTTTTTCGAAAAGATAATTACAAACTGAAACGGACTTGAACTAACTACTTCATAAATGATAAAAAGAAAGTGAAGATACTACTTAAGAAGTGAATGGCCTACTTAAGAAGTGAAGATCCTCTAGAAATGATCCTACTACAAAATTTTTTACGGGGAAAAGTCTAGTACCCGGTTGAAATACAGAGGGACATTCCATTACTGAACTAGTAAGTGTCACGCCATGATTTCACATCTTGTTATCTAAACCTATTGATAATTGTATACGTTAGTAAAGATCACTAACTTTGTGAGCAACCACGAAGACCGGTTGCCAGCTTAATATATATTAAATTTAATTTGTGAAAGGCTTTTTGAACAGAAAGAGTTCAGAGCTATCTTCATCAAGTTGGTAGTTTCAAATTTTTTGAATTTCCTTGTAGATAAGTTCTTCGAGAAATTTTGAAAAAATCAAAAAATGTCACATCTCGGAAACTAAAAGCATTTGAGCAGTCGCGTTTAGCAGTCGCATATGGTAAGATTTGCAACTCTTTATACCCTGACAACTATGGAGTTGGAAATGTCAAATTTTGAAAAATAATTATTTTAAACTTTCTGAAGTTTTCTGAAAATTTTTGAAAAAATCACAAAAAACGTCATATCTCGAAAACTACAAAGAATTGAGCAGTCATACTTGGAGGCAATATTTGCAATCTTCGAGATTACTCTGACAGGACCCAACTACAGGGTTGGGAATTTCAGATTTTACGAAAAAAATTTATGTTTTCTGAATTTTTTTTTTGAAAAAATCACAAAAAACGCCATATCTCGAAAACCACAAAGAATTGAGCAGTCATATTTGGAGGCAAGATTTTTAACTCCTTAGAGTACTCTGAAAGCACCCAACTACAAAATTGGAAATTTCAAATGTTGAGTAATAATTAATTAAAATTTTCTGTAAAAGTTTTGAAAAAATCACAAAAAACCTCATATCTCGAAAACTACAAAGAATTGAGCAGTCATATTTGGAGGCAAGATTCGCAATCTTTGAGAATACTCTGACAGCACCCAACTACAGGGTTGGGAAAATCAAGTTTTGCAAATTATTTTGTTATTTGAAATTTCTGAAAATTTTTGAAAAAATCTCAAAAATGGTCTTTTCTCGTTAACTAAAATGATTCGGGCATTCAAAATTGGAGGCCAAATTCGCAACCCCTAATTCGATATAGGGCTGCTTCATTTAAACTCGGTAAAATAACCACTAACATCAAATAAGAAAATCGAAAAAAAATTTCTTAACCATTGCAATATACGATACAGCTTAAACATGCAAAAATAATACGTTGAAAAAGCTTAAACATGGCGAGATAGTGAAGCCCGCATTTAAATATATAATAGATTATTAATTACTACCCAAAACTGATAACACCTATTTACTACCTAAATGAAGTTAGTTTTATTTTCACTTTCAAGATTTTGAGCTTCCTTGCTAATGACCATTTTGACTATTGTGTGAACAAAAGTTATTTGCAGAAAAAAGTCCAGTAAACGATTGCAATACAATTGCTTAACGCAAGACTAATTATTATGAATATTTCGTGGAGATGCCACTGGGGTGTTAGTCCCGCTATTAAGTTTCTCGATTTGCACGACAGTTTTCACAAATACAAACAAAAGTCCATATGCAAGTGTTCTGTTCGCTCCTGTTTCGAAGAAGCGCCACATAAATTCGATTTTCCGCACATCCTTTTAATTGCTCTTATAAAAGGATTGTATAATAGGATATCCAGAACGCCAAAGTTCCGATCTATGATATGATACAAATAGTTGAATATGCTGAGTAAAATAAGGCTTCAGCCATTGCCTTATTTTAAAAACGCAAAAAATCAAAGAGTTTCGCACCATTTACGATACTTGATTTTGCATCGCAAGTGTTACGGAGCTTCGTAACACTTGCGATGCAAAAAACACATGGCGCTACAAAATAGTGAATGAAAAAAAAAGTCTGAAAAAATTTCTGAAAAATTATGTTGGAAAAATTAGTTCAAAAATAATTGGCAACAAACGTTATAAGATAACAGCTAAAAAAAACTTAATATTTGTATCAGATGAAGTTCATAAACATCCCATAAAAAATGGAAAACAATAACCGAATGGCAACAAAGGCGACACACTTTGCGTCGAAACCTGTTGAGCCGAAAACAAATCTGTTGTCATAAAAAATTCTTAAAATTCAAGTTTGTACGACCCAATTACACGACCTTAACAGATAAAAAAAAAGCGTTTAAAAAGACTGAAAATGAACCGACAGAAACTAGGGCGAAAACTACAAACCCGAAAAAAATGAGAATTTTTTTTGAAAAGATAATTACAAACTGAAACGGACTTGAACTAACTACTTCATAAATGATAAAAAGAAAGTGAAGATACTACTTAAGAAGTGAATGGCCTACTTAAGAAGTGAAGATCCTCTAGAAATGATCCTACTACAAAATTTTTTACGGGGAAAAGTCTAGTACCCGGTTGAAATACAGAGGGACATTCCATTACTGAACTAGTAAGTGTCACGCCATGATTTCACATCTTGTTATCTAAACCTATTGATAATTGTATACGTTAGTAAAGATCACTAACTTTGTGAGCAACCACGAAGACCGGTTGCCAGCTTAATATATATTAAATTTAATTTGTGAAAGGCTTTTTGAACAGAAAGAGTTCAGAGCTAAAAGCTGTGTTATACGGTGACATAAGTGGGATACGAACCCACGTATCCAAGATACTGCTAAAAGCTTTGTTACACGGTGACCGCGATGGAGCTCCCCTAGCGCATGAACCCCGCGCAAATAAACAGCGTCGAACCACATATTTTTGTGCCAGCTTAATATAAATTTATTTCACTTGTGAAATGGCGTTTTGAACAGAAAGAGTTCAGAGCTGAAAGCTTTGTTCCAAATACCCTTGCTTATCGCAAGGTAAAAAAAAACAATTACAAAAATGTTAAAATTTCAGGAATGATTTTCAATTTGAAAAAAATATGTCCACTAATTAGCGGCGTCATATAAGTATTCAAAAACATTTATCGAGCAGCAACTAAGCCGAAAAATTAGGTAAACTCCCTTTAAGCTGAAAAAAGTTGTCAAGAAAAAGTTATTGAAACTCTACCCTCCGGCAACACATAAAAGGATGAAACAAACGACTCAAGTACCTAGAAGGACAACTATTCTCGAATTGAATAATTACCCGCACCAATACAGGGATAAATCAAAATTACTTTTCATTATAGTAAAATCAGAAGAAAAGTCAATGGTGTATAAGCTTAACAGACAAAAAATGAGAAAAACAATCCGAAAATTGATTCGATATTCACCTACACGTCATTTTGATTTGATATTTACGAAACAAATGAAGAAACAGAACAAAAACACAAAACGTACCTTTGCTTCCCCAAAAACAACATAAGTATCGCCAGCCGGGCTTCGGTAAACGTCGGGTTTCGATATCACAAAGAGAATCGTCCTGCTCTTTCGAATAGTGACTCGGTTGATCCCATGAATTTGTTTCAAGCCCAATTTAGAGAGCGCTTTTCGGGCTCGCTTCTCACTTCTCGATTGTTTTGAGCCTTTTTCATCGCCGTCATCTTCGTCACCCTGAAACATAAAACGTCCGCAATCTACATAAGCAAAAGAGAAACCAATTAATGCATGCTAAACTTTAGATAAAGACAGCCATTCTCAGTCAACAGAGAATGTATTTTTTCCATTTTTCGCCCAAAACTTTGTTTTAATTAGTTTCTCAGCAATTGTTCACTAACGTCTTCTTTTTTATCACCATCTGGATTTGCAGAGTCCTCAAGTCCCGGCATCTCTTCGTCATCATCGTCACTATCGCTACCTTCAGCCTCAACATCTTTATTCTCGGGTGGGATTTTAGCAGCTTTCGCTTCACTCCCTTCACTGAGCTTTTCTATGACTTCTGCAGCGGTCATTGGGTCTTAAACGAAATAAAAACATCAGTTATCATTAAATTTTTTAAGGTAATCAGATATCATAGTACTATGATACGTTGAAAGTATCATAGTAACCGAGGTTACAGTCAGGAGTCCCTTCATCGAATATTCCAGTCAAAATCCTAGAAATTTACCAGATATGGAAGAGTAAAGTATTATGTGGTAAGAAGTAAATAGAGTCAGATGGTTGGGAATCATGCCAACCAGATTGGGATGATGATGATGATGATGAAAGAATTAATTCCCGTAAATAAATTAAGGCAAAAAAATTTTAAAAAAATAAAGTCAAGATCGACAGTTTGAACAAGCGCACTTCAAGAACCATAAATAAGAGTTAGGTTGATCAAAAAAAAGGTCAATTAAAATGGGCCCTTCCGTCATGCGACGGTACGTGCACGGGTTGGAAAGGGCCGGACCAATCTCATAACTACACCTATATAAATACATCGGCAAAATTTCATGAATAAATCAAGTCGATTTTAATGCGTTTCTAAGTCATATAGAGACCTGTCCATGGTTTCGTCTTCACGTTGCCTTCGTTTCTCGAAGCGCATCATCATTTGGTATCCTTGCACTCCTGAGCCAAAGCGATTCAACAGGATTTCGATGTTTTTCTCGGCTGTGTCCCGCTGGTGTTGCTTTTAGGCCATCACGCAATTCTTGGCTGTCCCTTCCAAGTTACTGGTGAGCGCACTGCACTCTTGTCTTTCTGTCAAGTCTTCTTCCCCAAAAGACAGCTTCATGACTTCTATCCAGTTATCTATACAACTGTCAGATTCATTCTTATAACATCTCGGTTTCTTGATTAATTAATCAGAGTTCTCGCTGCGCTCATTGTTCCAGCGCTGTTCAAACGCTGTGACCATTGCCGTTGCATCACGTGAATGTCCCGCTTGATCGTTAATTTGAGTTGTTTGAAGCACTGGAATTTCCCTTCTGTCCGAATCGCTGGGCTGAGATCGTCCTGGATTCGAGTGGTTGCAGTTTGAGGAAACACTTCTACCTGTGGCATTTGCGTCTCGCATAGGTCGTTCGTTTGAGTTAGGTCTGCTGCTAGTAGAACCTTCTCTGATATTCGTTGGACCTATCAGCCTGTCATTCCCGGTGGCGTTCTTGGATGAGTTACCCCTTCCACTTGTGGACCCAAAAGTCCTCCCTCTATTCGGATGCTCGTTGAAGTAAATTCTCGGCTAACAGCTAGCGTCTCTCGAGTGTGTTCCTCTGTTCCTAGATCCACTCCTATTTCCCAGAAGACCATCCAGCCTGTCCTTTACAGCCTGAGTTCATCTTTCCAACAATGCGTCTATCCTTGTATCAAGAGTCCCAAGAGTCTGCTCTGGCTGACTTTGTAGTTGTTCCATGTCACCTCTCAATCGCTCCTCTCTTTCCTCATCCTTCCTCGTCATTCGCGACAAATTCCTGGCCAAGTACTCATCCGTTCTTTCTTTTACACGTTTTTTCTCCTAATGACTTCCTGTCTGTTGCGGTTAGTTTCTTCCCGCAGGCTTTCTCTTCCCACATGAACTGCTCTTTCTTGTTCACTCATTTCTATTGACATATTTTCACTCTGCTCACCCATGCTATCCACAATACTGCTCAAGGCTTTTTCTGTCGACGCCCGTTGTCCACCAATAGAGTCACAAGTGGTGGCGTCACCCTTTTGGTTCCAGACAGCTTGGTGCTGGTCGAAACTCGAGTTTTACCTCTCTGTCTCGGTTTGTCTTCAGAGTCCGCCTCTAGTTCCACTGGCGTGGTCCCTGACCCTGCGATCCTAGTTGTTCCAGATCGCACGTCCGAGAAGGTCATTGTCATGAACTCTATTGACTGTCGTTTTCCATCAAAAGTCTTGTTTATAGTTCGGACCTCACCAAATGGATCCGAATAGCCATTCTCCATGTTTATAGATGTCTCGTTTTCATGGGTCGAACTATTCAGGCTCATTTGCTACTCATAGTCATCGAATTCCTCATTTTTTTCTTTTCCACATCCTGGGTGTCTACTTTATCACCTGTTACCGCTACCATAGTAAATGGAAAGAACTTTCTCAAGTTGTTCTTGATATTTTCCGAAAACGAGGATGACGTTATCGCTTTCTGTGTCACCCCATTCATCATGGTATTATGAGTAGCTGAATTTGCTGCTGCTGACTTCTCACTCTAGATGTCGGACAGTTCCGATATCTCCTCTCGTCGAAGTAACGAAATTGTGGCCTTATTCTACGGGAGTAGATTCACTCGTTAACCTCCTATTACCTTCTGTTCCCTTCCACGTCCCGCCCAATTGTCATCCAGAGTGGGGTTCATGTGGATCTCTACCTCCAAAATTGCCTTTTTGCCTTCCGAGGTCTTTTGACTACTTGTTTCAACCATTCCGCCTGAAAACTTCTTCCCTTTCTTGTTCCGAGACTTCTCGGTCCTTTCCACAAAAGAGTCCTTCTTTGATTTTCTTCGTTTCTTCGACATGAATTTCCTATAGCTATCACTTAGCTTAGGTATCCTCGATTTGTCTAGGCTCGTCTTAAGTTATAACTTCTTACTGCTCAGACACTCGATTCTCTTGCTACCTTATACGTTGTCTGACAACTGATATTAATAACAAAAAACGATAATCTTCAAAAGTTCTAACTAACAAGTGACCATGAATCTTAATAGGTTATCACAGTACAGCGTGTATACAATTTATGCACAGCAATTGATTGTTGGTGATTGGATAAAACGCTAGTACAGACTGATGATGTCAATATACGTAAGAGATAGTGTAGTGACCTCCCAATGGAGAACAATTATGAAGAATTAACCACTAAAAAGTTTATCTTCGAAAAATATACTTGTATTGCAATTTATAAGTCAAATTGGAATTGAAAAAAAAAAAAATTTCCCTGTTTTTTGCCGCACTAAACGAACAAACTAGAAGGCAATATTTTTCTCAAGTGGACGACTATTGCACCCACCGAGCTCTGTGTTACCTATCTGCCTTCGGATTGCCCGAGCTAGACATACTAAAACTCTCAAGGCAAACACCCTTCCAAAAAACAATTTGGATTTTGATCCAAAGAAAACAGTGTCAAATTCTGATTTCGGTTAGACATAGACTCGCAAATCTCCGGGCTTAGACCTGTTTTCGTTTTACCATGGTATTTTTATTTTTTATTCAAAGACAAGTTTCCAGTGCACACTTTGGTTTCCTGTCTTTCTTGGTCTGCTTATTTCCTAACATCTTAAAGCTATTCGCTATTTATTTTGTTTTTGTTTACGTTTGTGTTAGGATGCCTACTATTGCGTTTGTAATTTAAAAACCTATCTCAGACCTATCTGGATTAGCGTTCAATTAATCCTTCCGGATAGGCAAAAATAGGACCCACAGAAATGAGAAACAGGACCACTCCCAATTGGGACCCCTCCGGATAGGCAAAAACAGGACTTTTCATTATTGGGACCCCTCCGGTTTGGCAAAAATGACCCTTCCGGATTGGCAAAAATAGGAGCTTTCCAAATTGGGAAGCTGGACCCCTCCGAATTGGGACCCCTCCGAATTGGCAAAAACAGGACCACTCTGCACCGGGACCCCTCCGGGTTGGGAAAAACAGGAACCCTCCGAATTGGGACCCCTCCGGATTGGTAAAATAAAACTATTTATCCTAGGCCCTTCCGGATACAGTATCACAGCTTATTTTACAAAATCAACTGAATACGAAGGGTTTGTTCTGGCTCCAGACTCCTTCGAATTAAAGCAAAGTTGCTTATTCAACAATTTCCCTTAACTGTGAGGGGTCTTATAAACAAGTTTATAATTGACTACAAAAATGTTCTCATTTTTGTCGTATTGACCAGAAAATTATTGATCCGAGCTCAAAAGGCCTGCACTCTTCATGTTCAATACAAAAAACAGATCGAAATTGTTTCAGTTGAAAAACTTTGCCAAAAATATTGCATTTTGGACCCCTCCGGATTGATGAATCCACCAAATCAAACTTTTTAAGTTCATTTTTTTTTGTGGCGCCAGGAACGTTGTTGGCAAACGGGCTTTACAACTTGTCGATTCAATAGCGAACAACAATTTTTATCGCCCTTACTCGTAAACTCCGAAAAATGTTCTCATTTTGTGGCGTTTTGTTTTTTCAAAAATCACGACGATTCAGATTTTGACGCCCAATTAGTTCCAACCACGTCCGGTTCCACTTGTTATATTAGTGCAGTTACGAAGTAATTCACTTACTTAGTGCTTTTTTTCGTTTCAAAAAATACCGGTATCTCAAAAATCGCCATTTGAGGGGGATCAAAATATCATTATTTTGACCCTAAAAACTGATCTGCTTGCAATCTTTTTCACTGAAAAACAATATAGGAGTAATAGTACAAGCAGTATAAAAACAATGCTATTATTATTGTATCCTTCCGGGTCCGTTCAATACCCGAATAAAGGTGCTAAACTCAGAATTTCGCAATTCGCTGGAGGGTCACTACAGTGCAGTCACTGTTGAGCCCCCCACAGATTGATATCGTACTTTCTGTACCAAAAGGGATGCAAAAATGGAAAATTATACCCAACAGTCGATTGTTGTTGTCCTTGAGACCCTTCCTGCTGCTCTTTGCACTGCTTGTCGGAGCCTTCTTCCGCTCTAACCCCGAGACCCTTCCGGAATGAGTGCAAATTAGCATTAACGTGCTTAAATACTCAATCAACTCTGTAGTACAGGCGCCAGAAAAGGGCCAAAATTTTGATCGTAATGATCCTGCTTGATATAAATGGCTGTAACAACAATATAACTAACAACGACAAACGGGAGGGTCGGATCACATCTCGTCTGGGGGATGATTTCTACTGAATTTTTCCCGTTTTTTTTGGTTAATTTTTATGTTTTTGTTTTTTTTTCTTTCGTACTATACTCGTTTTTGGTTGGTTTCTTGTATGTTTTTAAGTGTTTTTGGTCATATACTGCTCAGGGAACGACGGGACGGCTAATCTCCCACCCTTCACGACACGTGAATTTTTGATCTTAAGTAGGTTAATTAGGCATTCCGAACCACCCTTCCGGCCATCTATTAAAGGCCTTATTTAGAGCATCCACTCGGCGCCGAATGCTTTGTTAACGGGTGTGCTGATCATGATGTTAAAAGATTAACACCCAGGAGCGCCATAAAAACGTATATGTAACATTCGCACGGAAGTACATACCGGCTGAAGATAAAGCTAGGTCCTAAAACGACTGGCTAGCGTCTAAACGCAGCTTCACATGCTTTTAACCGTCCCCATCAAGTCTAGTTCATTGTAAGGTTCATTAACATTGGGTCGACATAGTCGTCCTTCTATAAGGCTATCAGCCAGATTGCGCAAACTGACTTAATTACATGCAAACAAACTGAACTCATGGCTGCGTCTCAGTATCCCCAGACCACGAGATCACTCCTAGAAACAAGGCGACTACTTACTATCATATTAAAAATGTTTCTGTTCAGTAGATAAAAATCATCATATCCATCGGAGTTGGATCGACTGTTTTCCTCAACTCCTAGCTTCTCATACTCTGGAAAATGAATAAGAAGTTAAATAGTTTCAATTCAGGACATTTCCTTGAAGTTAAAAGTTGTTAATATTGAGTTCAAGTCTCTTTTCACAAGACCCTTTCCGATTCTTGAATCCGGTCGAAGAGTGGTCTTGTTGCGGTGTGGGAAGGGTAGTAAATTCCTCCCAATACACCTCCGAATTCTAAGGAACTGCTCCGTAACGATTGTAACTGTTCAATCGTTGCAATTTGAATGGTATCGATCAAAAATTCAATTTTCTCCACTATAGCTTGTACGTCTATTCTTCACTGCCAAGAACCGTTGTTGTTGTCTTTAACGAAAATCGATGATCTGATTTCCGCGTTTTCTCAGTAACTGCGTAAGTTCAAGGTCTTGACGTGTTTTTTTTCGAACGATTTTTAAAAAATTACTTTATCACTGCAAATTGACCCTTACCAATTCGTTTAATTGAGCGAATAACACCATTAATTCTTCGAAACTACCAATTTACTCACTCAGCTGCTGCCAATAAAAATTCGTTGTTTCCATGCATTTTGGCCGCCATTCTGTTCAAATGTCATAATTAACATAGTTACATTCAAAAATAGTGAGCTCATGGCTTGGTCTCAGTATCCACAAGGTCACTACTTAAAACAGGGCTACTACTTAATTATTGTTTTAATATTGGTTTTGTTCAGTAGATAAACATCATCATATCAATCGGAGATGGATCAACTCTTTCTCTCATGTAACAGTCGCGTACTTAAGTCACATATGAGGCTAAGAGAAAAAAGCCCAAAAAATATTGGCTCAAGAGTCAGGAACACTATCTCTTGTGTTTTTCTACCTCATGCGGTTGGAGCCATTTCGGTTCACTTGCGACATGAGACTACAAACCGTGTTACAGCTGAAAGGCTACTACCAAAATACACCCCCCCCCCCCCTCTACAAATAAGAGCGCCCCCACGGTCATGTCTCGAAATACCTAAAAAACGCGGACGCTCTTAAAGACAGGAGGGAAACTGAAGTATACCGTTAGTTTTTATCGGACAGTGGACCTTTGATCCATTTCAGATCGACCAACCAAAAAACTTGCCTTAACTCAACATAATCACCAAAAAAAGACTCAAAAAAAATAAATTTAGACACTCACATACCGACACGACCTCTAGAATTGAATAGCTAATAATTGAAAAGCGACTCTTGAACTGATTAAAGTTAATTAAGTTTAAGTTGAGGAGTTCTAAAGAAGTAAGTTTTAATTCCAGAAGTTTTTGTCCGGACCATTGGGCAGCATCAGCTGTCCACGTTTCAACTCAAGTATCACTCTGGTCCAATTGTACGATCTTCTCTATCGCTCTTCCTGAACTCTTGATCTTCAATCGGGAACAAGATAGCTCTACTCGTGTCGCATAACTCTGGTAAAATTGTGAAGAGCAATTTTACTCCCGTATTATCTAGCAACTTTCCCACGAATTTAACTGAATCTTCTGTCTTTTTCTCGTATTTCCAGTTGTCGCGGGAAACTTGACCATGATAGGCTCAATTCAAAATTTTAAAAAAATACGTTGTCCCCAAAACTGAATGTTAAACGTTCAACTCAAGGTCAAACTTCCAAATATGACCAACTGGCACATTGACTCCTTGCTTCTCATTTTCTGAAAAGTGAATTAGATGTTAATTGAATTCAGTTCAAGACATTCCGGGAAGAAGAAGTGTAAATTCAAGTCTTCTGAAAAGACAATAATACAAGTATGAAAACATGAAAAGTATCAATAGAGTTGAATGAAAAAACATGTATAAATTCCGGGAAGCTAAAAGTTGTTCAAAACCAGTTTGTTGTCTTTTCCGAAGAACCCTCGGGATTTGTGGTCTTCACCAAATCCGCTCTCTTCTCAGCGCCGGGAATTGATGCAATCTCGGCTCTCAGCCTTCCCTTTTGAGAAAGTTAGCACAGTAACGATTGTGTCAGCACAATCCTTACTTTCCAGAATGCCCTCGGATCTTCACACTCGTTTTTCTAATTTCTTCTCCCATTAGCCTAATTGTTTAGATAAACTTATTAAATAGATTAATTGCGCTGGGCTTTCCTCACAAACTTACCTTACCAATTTTTGCCTAGGCGAGTGAGTTTCCCTGGCGTAACAAGACGCAAGAAGGAGTGAGCCGGTGAATCGACCCTCTAAACGACGTCAGGTCCAATTTTAAATCCTAATTTGAAAGTATCCATAAATCAATCCAAAGAGCTTCCATTCTCGCCTCAGTTGTCTGTGTTTCAGGTAGATGCCGCGATTCCAGACATTCGCATCCCTCGATTCGCATCCCTGAGTTCTCACAGAAACTAATTATCGGACTATAAGGACCAAATAAAAGAAACCAGCTCTAGTAAAATCAACAATTCACTCCTACCGCGGCGCAACGCTTCATGATCTGTTGGAAACAGTTTTGCAATATAGATCAAATATACAGAATTGGAAGAAGGTGGAAAAACATGATTAAACTCGTCACTTACAAGTTTCAGCCCAAGACACTGATCATCCACAAAACAATTCAGAAATGTAAAAACACTGAAAAAAATCGCAAAACTTATTATCATGATCATGTGTTGTTTATTTTTGTGAATAGATTTGTACACCCACATACACTCATTTTTTATCTAACCTCAACCTAATTCTAAACTCTCAAATGTTCTGCCCTGATAGCATCCATTTCTCGTTCTATGCTAATGGTTTCTTTACTATTTTTCTTGCAAATACATTCTATAAATTGTCTCGCTAACTTGACACCGCCGTCCTTCCTCAAATGGCTGCTCAAACACATTGCCTTATTTGTAGAAACAGGTTGCGAGGCGGATGTGTTTGGTGCTTTACATGCCAAAGCTACATGCTTGTAAAATGCAGCGGCCTAGCTCGCAGCAGAGATCATTACAACGATTTTAGCTGTCATCGCTGCACCTCCCAATTTCATTCAGCTAACGACACGCATCAATGCAATCCCCCAACCCTAGCTAGAACACACTCCCCCAAATTCACCCTCACCATTCCACTGCCCCACACTGTCTAGAACAACACAAGACCCATGGTCAAACCCCTGTCCAGAACTCATAGAAACAAGTAAAATATACTCCGAAGTGGTCCACTGGAAACCGGTCTGTATGATCTTATCAAAAAATAAATTTGGTTATAATTTCGTTGAAAACCTCAAAAAAACGCTGAACAGCCTAATAAAAAACAACGAAAATACCTTCCCAATTCACGCAGCAATGATCTTTCCTCAGTTACTACTGTGCCAAAAAAAGTCCAAAAGCAAGGCGACTTAAGCAATGGCAAGACGGAGACCTGGATGGTCTATATAACGAAAGGAAGGCGCTTCAAATGCGCTTGACAAAAGGAAGTAGAAGAAAAACTGAAAGTGAAGCACAACAGTTCAATAAACTAATGAATACTGGTAAAATATCAAGCGCAATAGCAAAACTAACGGACACATCCAAAGGCGTTCTTCCGCTCGTCGAGATTGTCAAAGGTAAGAAAGTAGGACAGACTCTCATAGAGAAGCACCCACCATCTGAACCAATTGATGAGAACTATATTACACCAGTGTCAAATGAAACAATTCCCTTCCATCCATCAATATATAATCAGATAAACGGTCAACATGTCAAGAGAGCAGCCATGAGAACGCATGGATCTCATGGACCATCTGGACTTGATGCAAATGAATGGAGACCAATTTCTGCACACTTCGGGCAACAATCATTTGAGATTTCAAAAACAATTGCAAAAACTGCTAGACAATTGGCTACCGAAGAACTAAATCCAGAACTAACGGATCCACATAATGCATGTAGATTAATACCCTTAGATAAAATCCAGGAGTAAGACCCATAGGCATAGGAGAAGTTATGAGTAGGATAATAGGACGAACAATAATCGAATGCCTAAAAAACGAACTCGTCTCGCTCGGTTCAAATAATTAACTCTGACAGAAATGTGGCATTGAATATGCAATCCACACGCAAAGAGATCAATACAGCAAAAACTCCGCCGATGCTGTTTTATTGATAGATGCCGAAAACGCTTTCAACCTGCTTAATCAAAATCTGGCATTGTAAAACATCGAAAGTACCTGCCCATCTCTTTTAACCGCAATTAAGAACTCCTACTCCGATCCATCTAAACTGTTTGTTAACAAAAAAAAACCAACTACTCTCAAGAAGGGACAACCCAGGGGGATCCACTAGCAATGACCATGTACGGTCCAGCCATAATACCCCTCATAAATTTTTTATCAGCAGACAACGTAATCCAGAAATAGTACGCAGACAACGCAAACGAAGTCGGTAATTTAAGCAATCTACGAACCGTCTTTGTTAAATTGTATCACTAGGTAAATTTCTTGGCTATCATGTTAAAGCATCCAAATGCCAACTCAGTTTCAAAGATGAAAAACTCGGTGAAACTGAGAAAATCTTCGAAAATACAGGAATCACTATAAAGGCAGGCGCACGAGTGCTTGGTTCAGTTATAGGAACAGAATCTGAATATAAAAAATTCCTCGATTTTCAGCAGAATGAGCAAATCAAATTTTTGAAAAAATTATTGAAAATCGCTAAAACCTCTCACCAAAACGTTTATGCCTGCTACACTAAAGGACTACAAGAAAAACTTTCTTTTGTTACCAGGACAACGCGTAACACTATGGAAAATTTAGAAATATGTGATAAGATTATCAAAGAACAATTAATACCTAACCTAATCGGTAAAGACACATTGAACCCCCAGTTCCGTGAGATATCTTCCTTACCCCTTAAAATGGGTGGCCTGAACATCAAGCTGCCATCCGATCATGAAAGCTATCTGGAATAGTCTAAGGAAACATCACTAGTACTGGATTCTCAAGATCCTGTTACAGCAATAACACAGCAAGAAAAAATATGTACAAAAATCAAAAAATTGAAAACTGATAAAACAAACCGAAAGAAAACAAACCTCATACACTCCCTAAATGAAACAGATAAATACGCAATCGAGTTGGTTTCTGAAAAGGGAGCCTCTAACTGGCTCAACGCTCTACCATTGAACAGATATAACTTCAACCTGAGTAAATCAGAATTCAGAGATGGTATCTACTTATGATACGGTTGGGAACCGACCAAAACCCCACTCACATATGCATGTGGTGCTAATTTTAACTTGACACATGCGCTAAACTGGGCAACGGGCGGTGAAACACACATAAGACACAATGAAATCACAGACACATCGCCAACCTCAGGAACGAGGTTTGTCATGACGTCGAGATTGCGCCGAAAGTTCAGCCGTTGCAAGGCGATAATTTTGTCAACAATTTAACTACAACTGAAGATGAGGCACAATTTGACATTAGGGCAAACGGTTTCTAGGGTTAACGATTTAGCCGTGCTTTCTTTGATGTGAAAATTTTCAATCCTCATGCCAAAACATCGCGAAAACTGCCTAAAGACGCATATAAATATCACGAAACGCTGAAGAACTCCAAATATCAGCAAAGAGTTTTAAACGTAGAGCAGAGTAGCTTCTGCCAGTTAATTTTCGGATGCACCGGTGGCGCTGCTCCAACAGCCACGCGGACTATGCAACGATTAGCCGAAAAACTAAGTGAAAAAAGACAAGAAAGCTATCCAGAATCCATAAATTACATAAGAACTAAAATAAGCTTCGCGATCCTGAGGAGCTCTATACTATGTATAAGGGGGTGCAAATCGCTGCGCAAAGTTCAATTTATCGACAACTCCATTAGCGCTATTTAGAGGATGGACGGTGAAGATAAATTAACATTACCACGATGCATTTAATGCTGATTTATGACTCCATTGATAAATTGATACAGCTTGCTGATAAATATGCATTTTCCTAACGCTGGTATGGCCCTATCCAGCTTGTGCACTTACCGTAACTAAACGGAAGGGCCTCTTCATAGATTTCTCCCTCGCTGTGTGTGACGGTTTGAAGGACTGTTACGTATCTTGTTGCTTAATAATATAATGGACAATGTTGAAATGAATTTCTCTCATGTTTCTTTTTGTGACATTCGACCAGAATGTGAAAAATGCAATCTCTGCAGAATTCGAATTTTTAGCAGCGAGCCTTCCGGATTGGTGATTGTTAAGAACTAAGAACGTTATTGGAACGATTGGCCAAACGGTGAGGGCTGGAATATTCTGGTATTTTAACATTTTAAAAATTCGAATTATGACGTCATATTTCTGAGAAACGTCAGAAACGGCCATTTTGACTAAAAAAAGAGAAAGAAAAAGAGAACAACATTAGCTGCGCTAGCAACAACAACGAAATTGAGATCGGAAAACAACAACGAGTAACAGAGTGTTACAGAGTAACAGAAGAACACTCCGAGTTGCAACTATTGTGCTGCTACAATAGTTGCAAGGCCGTTGCGAACAACGGTGAAGGGTGAGAGACGGCCTTCCGGATTAAGAGAAAATCAGGATTAGCGAGCTTGATCCAGCGGATTCATCAATCCGGAAGGGTAAAGGAACTGAAACTTTTATCCTGTTGCATAAACTTTTAGCTTCCTGACATGTCCTGACTTGAATTTAATTAATATCTGGATTCATTTTGATAGGGATGAGAAGCTAGGAGTTGGGGGAAAGGGTTGATCCATCTTCGATGGAGATGATGATTTTTGTCTACTGAACAAAAACAATAGTAATATAATAAGTAGTAGCCCTGTTTTTAGGAGTGACCTCGTGGTCTGGGGATACTGAGACCCAGCCATGAGCTCACTATTTCTGCATGTAATCTAGTTAATTTGAGTGTTTTGACCGAAGCCGAAAGCAGTAACGTTTTTGTCGACCCGATGTTGGAAAAGACCACCGAAAAGTACTGGCTTGGTAGAGACGGTGAAAAGCATGCAAAGCTCTGTTTAGACGTTAGCCAGTCATCTTAAGACTTAGTTTTGTTTTCCGTCGATATGTATCTTTCGGGCGAATGTTACATGTATGTTTTTATGGCGCTCCTGGGTGTTATTCTTTTTTAACATCATGACCGGCAGAACCGTTAACGAGCACTCCG